CCCAAAACCCCAAAACCCCAAAACCCCAAAACCCCTCATCTAACTGAATGAGATTCACGAGGAAATTTAACTAATTTTTTGAAAATAAAACTTAATAATTACTTAAATTAGATATATATCTTTATAATCGTATAGGCAAGCATAAAAATTTATATTTAATTGTTGAACACTCTGCAGATTGCTACAGATGATTGTGCCATTGTTCTCTCTTAAATCTCAGGTCACTCATGCAGGTTGCCTGAACCCTTGTGAGCAGATTTTGAAACGTAAGACTTACTACTAAATGCTGAGTCTTGGGATTGCATCTTTTTCAACGCATTTACTTGACTTTGACTTCCTTATTTAAACTGATTGAAGGAATACTTATCTGGACTTTAGTTCTTGCATTTATCAAGTTCATTTGATATTTTTAGAACCCATTAATCACACTCGTTAGCATCATGACATCTGAATTCATAGGTTTACTTTTTACCCTTAATCATAAGGACTATTCTGAATTTTGTCTTGTCTGGTCTTTCCAATCGGGTGATATCAGGATCTATAACTATATGCTTAGTTCGTATTTTATCTTTGACATCTTTCAAGTAATGTAATTTTGGTTCATCTGTTAATGTTACGATTCTCTTATAGAAAAATCCTAATCTGGTCTTTTTCTTCAAATTTCCATTCATGATTATGTTAGCTGAGAATTTTTACTATATATTCTCGTCTATATGCTCTTCTTCTATCCCTGATGAAGTCACAACTACATCATTACTGCTTTCATCCTGCTGTTTTTGCTCTAGAAGTTGTTATCTTAGAGTACTTCGTTGGAATTTCTTAAAGTTATAAGGGGTTATCATTAGGAATACCTTGTCAAAATCTATTCCTTTAAAAAAAGCATGACTCTTTAAATGATCATAATCATTCAAAGATCCAGGCTCTCCAGCTCCAAGTCTTTCAATTGGATTTCTTTTAAGTAACTTTTAAATGAGGTCTCGAGCATCAGGAGAAAAGTCATCAGTAAATTGATAATTAACATTTTAAATGTTATTGAATGTTTAGACTTGGTTAGTTCCTTTAAAAGGTGATCTCCCACAGATCATCATATATATTATAACTCCTAAACTCCAGATATCAGCTGGTCTTCCAGCTGAAGTTTGATCTAGAATTTCTGGTGCTATGTAATCTTCGGTTCCAACCAAAGTAGCTTTCTTTTAGATTTTAGCTGAATCTTTATTAGTAAGATACTCTTCAATATTATTTTACTATTCCTGAGGATTTATTTCAATGCAGATAGACGATCTCAGTCTTGCTTACTTTTTAACTTCTTCTACTTTTGAGCAGCCGAAGTCTACAATCTTTAAATGATGATTCTCATCAAACAGCAAATTTGATGGTTTCAGATCACGATGGGATATTCCTTTGCTATGCATGTATTAAAGAATATTTATTATCTCAGCACTTAAAAACTAGGCCAGTTCATGCTAGAGTTTTCCTATTAAAGCCATCATTTTAAAGATAATCTTACCTTCTCGTTGGATGATGCTAAAGAGCTCTCCGTTAGGAGCAAGATCAAGGACGAAATAAAGATATTTTTTATCCTAAATAAAAAGTTATTGATCCGTTTATCTGTATAGATACTTACATCGAAGCTCCAATACATTTTAACAATATTAGGATGATCCAGTGTTATCAATGCTTGTCTTTCTCGAAATACTTCCTGCTATTTTCCTGCTTTCATAATTTTATGTTTTTAGATCATTTTTATTGCGTAGAATTTACCCCCTTGTTTCTTTTTTGCCATAAAGACTTTCCCATAAGCGCCTTGACCAATTAATCCAAGAAATTCAAAACTATCGACATTAACTCTCTCCTCTGCGCTTCTTTTTCTTCCCTTCTCTTATCCTTACAACTTCAATGAAGCTCTCTCTTCATCAAGAGTCCTAAATTTCACATCTTCTGGTTTTCTTGTAGACTTTCTCTAAACTCCTGATCCCTCAGGAGATTTTTAGATACTTTATTCGATTCTCTTTTCAAATTCCATTGCATCATCATCATAGTTATTTTTATTAAATGTTGAATTATCCTAAAGCTGAGATTCATCATCAGTCGCCTTAGTCTCCTCATCATATTGTGGGAACATAGGCTGAAGTAGTGATTTTAGATCCGAGTTATAATCAAACCGAGAATCTACATTAGTCTTTGTGTAGTATGTAGGACTTCTGATTACTGAATCATCACATGCAAAATAATCATCATCCTTACGAATTTAAGAAGCATTCACGAAAAACCCTGCTTAATATGAAATTCTTTGTATTTGTTCGTAGGTTTGTTAAATAGTATTCTTGGAAAATGCGTCATCACGAGTATCGGATGTTTTCCTATTTTAATCAAGTGGTTCAACCATTTGATTAGACATAAATTTTATTAAATTTGATAAATTTGGAAATCATAAATCTTCTCTAATTTGAATAGAATTAATTTCTCCCCTCATAACTTATAAATCTTTTTCCCATGGGGTTTTGGGGTTTTGGGG